AAGCTAAAGTGTTTTATGCTTAAATATTAGATGTTTTTTATGCTTAAAAACTATATAAATACAGCCCTATACAAACCCTAACAGAAAAAAATACAATTCATATATATATATATATAATATAAACCCCACGACACAGAAAAACTTTCACGACAATTTCGCTATATACAATTATGTGTGTGTAAGTGTGTGTGTTGTGTATATGTGTGTGTTGTGTATGTGTGTGTTTGTTGTTTCACTAGAAATGTGGAAATTGACATATCAAATATTATACATATGTATATATAACTATATATATACATATATACATTCGTACATAGATTTCTGGTTTTGGCCAGGCGCGCTGCTGCGAATGCAATGAATTCGTAGGATTTTAGAACAGATCTTCCATTCACTATATATATATATATATATACATACATATACATATGTATATGTATATACACATATATTTATATATATAGCTCTACATCGAACATCTAAAACTGATGTTCAGTTGAGGGCTGGTTTAGCTTTTGTGTTGTTTGTTGTTGACATCACAGACATATTAAATGTTGTTGCGAGCTGTTGTTGTGGTTGCTGCTTCTGCTTCTGCTTCTGCTTCTGCTGCTGCTGCTGTTGCTGCTGATATTGCACACTCAGTTCCAGAGCAGCCAACGTTAACTCTTTGATATCTCAAGCTGTTGCTGGTTGCGCTCCCACCACTCCTGTATGCTGTTGACCATTTGGTGTCGCCGGAAGCGCATCGATTCGCTAATGCACATATCTATAAAATCGGATTTCATCTCCAGATCGCCCTTCACCATATTCAAATGCTCCAGCAGCTGGCTATAGTCCCGGCCGGGTCGTCGTATATCTCGAAAGACCTGCATTCGCAAATCGATATTATGTTTGCGTGCTGCTTCGCGCTGTTCCTCGGTCAGGATCAGTTCCGGTGAGCTGCGGATGTCGCCGTTGTCATTGATAGAATTGCTGTTGCTGCCAATAGTGTTGTTGCTGGCATTGTTGCTATTGTTGTTGTTGTTGTTGTTGTTGTTGCCGACGTGTGTCGGTGATGCTTTGGGCTCCAGCTTTGGGCTACTGTTGTTGTAGGCTCGATTATGATTGCTATTGTTGTTGCTGCTGTTGCTGTTGCTGATGTTGTTATTGCTGCTGTTATTATTGCTGCCGTTGTTGTTGGTGTTGTTACTATTGGTCAAGCCGCTACCCCAGCTGCCCCAGCTGGGCGTTGTTGTGCTGCTGCTGCTGCCACCGGGCGTGCGCTTCAGTGCATCAAAGCAGTTCCACGATATGGGATCCAGATCCATGCGAAAGCCATTTACTAGATGATTATTGCTACTGCTACTGCTGTTGTTGCTGCTGCTATTGCTGCTGCTGCTACTGCTGATGTTGTTGTTGTTGTTGTTACTGTTGCTACTGCTGCTGGTGTTGATTGTGCTGCTGCTGTTGCCATTGTGGCACGTTTGCAATATGCGCGAGATCTCGGAGGCATCATTGATATCGTTATGACTGAAGTATGTTGTTGGATTTGCCGTTGATGTTGTTGCCGTATTTGAGCTGCTGTTGGCCGTTGTTGTTGCTGCTGGTGCTGCTGGTGTCACGGTTGCCGCTGCTGCTGCTGCGGCTGCTGCTGTTGCCACTGGCACTGGTGGCGGCGACAACATTGCCGCATGCTGACTCGGATACCCATTGGGCACCAGCAGCAGTGGTGGCATTGCTGCCACGCCCCCACCAACCTTATGCATTCCCGTTGCGCTCTCCAGCATATGCAGCGGACTGTCCATGGGCGTGTGCGTGCCCACATTGCTGCTATAGGCCGCATGCTGCATGGTTAGGCCATTGAGTGGCAAGTAGAAGACGCCGCTGCTACTGTTGAAGGCATTGTGATGGCTGCTGTTGCTGCTGCTGCTGCCATTGTTGATGCTGCTGCTGCTGCTGCTGCTGCTAATGCTCAGCTCAGGCACACCATTGCTGGCAGCAATTGCTGCGATGCTGCTGCTACTGCTGATGCTGCTATTGCCAGCTGTTGCCGACATTGCATCAGGCACAGCTGCTGCTGCTGCTGCTGTTGCTGGGATGTTGATGTTGCTGCTGGGACTAACAATCACGCTGGTGCTGTTGCTGCTAGTAATTACGCTGCTGTTGTTGTTGTTATTGCTACTGCTGTTGTTATTATTGTTATTGTTGTTGCTGTTGTTGCTGCTGCTGTTGCTGCTGCTGGGGTTATTGTCCGCTTCGTTGGCGCGCTCTTCATCGCTGATGCCATTGATAAAGTTGTGCACGTAGCCGTTGAGAGGCGTCTCCTGGTCGCTGACTTCCTCCTCGCTAAAGTCAAAGGTCATGCGCTCCGGCGTATGCGAGCCAACAGACATGCCGGAGTCGCTGTTGCCACTGGCGATGCTCATGTTGTTGCTGCTAAGGCCGCTGCTGTTGCTGCTGCTGCTGTTCATGATGATGCTGCTGCTGCTACTGTTGCTGCTGCTGTTGCTGTTGATGCTGCTGTGGGACGCCTCGGAGCCGTAGCTACTGTTGCTATCCTCATCGAGGTCCAGCTCCGACACGCTGCTGCTGGCCGAGCCGCCGCCTATCGAGCTGGGGCTAGAGCTGGAGCTGCGCAACGAGTCGACGGACATGCGCCGAAACTCAAAGGCGCGTGGCAATGGACCCGCTTTGCGTTTGCGTCCACGCGACGTGCTCTCCAGCTTCTTGGAGATGGGGCCCATGGGGCCGCCCAGTCCATTGCCGCCGCCCAGCATTAAGCCGGACATGCCGCCGCCACCGACTGGACCCATGCCGCTTGAGTTGCTGCCGCTGGACGAGGGCGAGCTGGCGCCGTTGCCGCCGTTCGAATTGTTGCCGCTCTTCATGGGCGCCACATCGCTGAGATCGGCCTCATCCACCATGACCATGTGCTTGTCCTTCTTATACGGATTGCCGAACATGTGCTGGCGCACATTCGTCGGCTCAATCTCCCGCAGCGGATTGTCCTTGTTCTTCAGATACTCCTGGTAGTTGCCCATCTCGGCAATGGGCAGACAGTGGCCCGAGTCCTTGGCCACCATGCTGGTGGGCCGCATGAACGTCTCGCGCATGCGCGCTATCTCATCCACCAGATCCCGCCTGGGTATATCGAACGGATTGCGGTACGACTTTGCGGACGACTGATGCGTCAGCTGCGGCACCACAATCGTATAGTTCTCCACGGGCTCGATCTCCGCGTGGAGCTTGGCGAACGTATCCCGCAACAGCGGATGCCGCACCAGATCCCGGCGCAGCGCTGCGCCCGTGCACAATTTGGCCGTTTCCACTTGGCGATAGGGCGGCTTTGGTTGCTTCAGCTGTTTGTAGACCTTCAGACAGAGATTCTCCTGATCCTGCTTGGCCGTGTTCTTGATGTGCTTCAGCTGGTTCGCTATCGTCGGTGACAAATAGTTGTCCACATTCTCCGGCAACAGGAACTGCAGCAGCTGATACGGCACATTGATGTTGACCAAGGCCTTGCGCAAAAAGGGGCAGTAATAGGGCGGTATGGATCGGACGTAGGCATTGAACTTGTACATGAGATCGTTCGGCGGACTCATGTTGTACTTGTGGATGAGGTCGTGCAGGAGCGGCAGCAGTGCCGGATAGTTGTACGCCAGCACGTACAGGTGCACCTGGCTGAAGTTCGGCGAGGCCTTCAGGTACCCGAAGGGCAGCTCGAAGCCGTGCATGCCATTCGTGACGATCACCTGCCAGCACTTGTTCATCTCCCGCTTGTTGAGTATCTGCAGCGTCAGCGGGCAGCCCTCGATCTCGTACTTGTCCACGGGAAAGCTACGCACCAGCTGTGGCTCATCTACGGCGGGCGTTAGTATCTTCAGCTTGGGATGCGCATCGCGCGGTGGCAAGGTGATCGCCTTCGAGTCGGGCCAATAGGGCTCCGGCAGTGGCCAATAGCCAATGGGGAAGGTCTTCTGTGTGATGTGCTTCTGCACGTAGATCATCTTCTTGATCGGCTGAAAGACAATGTCCGCTGTGGGCTCATTCGAGGTGGATGTTGTTGCTGTGGAGCTGCTGCTGTTCGAGCCGCCACTGTTGCTGTTGTTATTGTTGTTGTTGCCGCTGCTGCTGCTGCTGTTGCTGTTGCTGCTGTTGTTGTTGCCGCTGCCGGTGCTGCTGTTGCTATTGCTATTGCTGCCGCTCGACTCCTTGGGCAGCATGGGCTCGAATTGCAGCACAACACCTGGCTGCACCTTCTGCACCAGGCTCTCGATGCACTGATTGAGCACGTAATGGCTGCGCACCCGGTAGGATCGACCGCCCGTTACCTCACACATGCGCTCAATGGGCGAGTCGTCGTGCGGCACCTTCCCATCGACTCGCTCGTCGATCTTGTTACCCGGCATGCGCAGTACGAGCGAGAAGAGACGCTGGTCCCAGCGGAATGGCTCTTTCGTGAATTTTGTGCCGGGTATTTGATTGCTGAGCGGCAATATGATCTCCTGGTGGACACCGTTTCGATACGAATAGCGGCCACCGTCAGTGATCACAATAATGACCGATGGCTCCAGATAAAAGGGGCAACGCCCCTGGCCGTAGGTGTCGATGCCCGATTGCATCCGATTCAAGTTGAGCAAATCGAAGGCGTTGCGCAGCGACTCGCCCATTGAGGTGAGGCCGTGGCTTTGGAGATTTTTTAGCTCGTTCATGAATGTCGCATGATTCTCCTTCCAGCCGGCTTTCACGTTTGCCGGCGGCTCCTCGAACGTGAGCAGCATATACCGATCGCCTAGGCAATCCTGTGTGCGTTGGCGATATTTCAGAAATGTCTCGACTGCACCTTTGGCTATATCCAAATATGTCTTTTGCACACCATTCACATACGCCTTCTGGCACATGGACGACGAGGTGTCCACCAGGAAGAGTATGATTGTCATGGCTGCCCACTGCCAATGCTCACGTTTACACCCACTACTGTGCCGTTGCGCGAAACACACTTTTCTGGTCAATCTAAAAAAAATACAAAATACATGAAAAACAGTCTAAAAAAATCTAAACTTAAAAAATAAATAAATTAATACAAAATAACTTAATTTAAGAAAACGCAATCACAGGAAAGCACACAACATATATATGTATATACATATATGTATATATATACGCGCGCGCAAATGCGCTGTGATTAGCAAACGCATTAAATGTTAACTTCATTTACCGTTTTTTTGCGCTTTAGTGAGCTAATTTGAGCGCAATTGAGCTTCAGTTTGTGAGTGAGTGAGCGAGAGAGCCTATGTATGTCTATGCTGTGTAACTGAGAGCAATTGTAGTTGCGGGTGTGTTCTCCAGAGTCCTCTTCTTTTCCTTTTTCGTGCTCTTCTTCTTCAACTACTGGCTGTGGCATATGTCTTTTCTCCTACACTTGTTGTTTTCGTTTTAGCTGCAGCAGTTGGTATTTTAGAGTATATGTGTGTGTTAGTGTATGTGTATTTGTTGTTGTTGCTGTTTTTTTTTTGTGGTTTTTTGCACAGCTCGCTTCAAAATATTGCTGCTGCTCTCTCGTAGCGGTTGCTAGCAGCTTGCTTCTTCCTCCTGTTGTCCTGGACTTAAGCGATTTGCTCTTTTTCGTCGTTTCACTGTTCCGCTTTTATAGTACATGTTGCTTGAAACAGCTGACATTTGGATTTGAAAATGACCAACAAGTTCTGCAACGAAATGGAAGGCGGACGAAAAAGGTTAAGAAAGAGAAAGAATTGCAAATATCATTCAATCACAGTTAGCATGTTGCGCATACGCACTGTAGTATCATAATAAACAATTGATACACAATTCGTTTATAACTTTGTTTTGTAATCCACACACACACATACACACGCACATTCAAACACGACCACATGAGAGACAGAGACACGCATATGCATATATATACACATGTATACATCTATCACCTTTGCAATCACTGATAATGCTTAGGTAAACGGAACTGAAGCACATACTGACACGCACACACTCACAAGCAAAAATACGCACAATTTGGACAATAAATGTGCTAATTTTGCCTTAAGAGTTTCTGACTGTGATTTTAAAGTTTGATCGCTTGTTCTCTTTTTTATATGCTCTCTCTCTCTCTCTTTAGTTGCCGCTTTACACGAGCATCCCCATTTCTTAAAGTTTGTGGAACAATATAATCAA